GGGACAGATCGGCCGATGAGGTCTGGAGGAAACTCAAAAGGAAAGCACCATTCCCAGTGACACTGGGAATGGGCCCAGAAACAACTGGCAATAGGCCTAGGCCAGAATTGTTCCCAGTGTCACTGGGAATAGGCCAGGAAACTATTCCCAGTGACACTGAGAACAGACGGGCCTATTAGATCTATTGTTCCTACATTGATCTACATGGGCATGATGTTGATGGGTAACTAAATACTAGACTAGTCTACATCTAATGTAGATCTAGATTCTAGATCTAACTAAACTAAAGTAGATTCTGGTGTGAGGGGAAGAATTTTTTTTAAAGAAAGGAATGATCATTCTATGCTTGCTTGTTATTCAGTTGTAAATTAGTTTAGATCTAGATGTATGTAGATCAAGAAATCTAGATCTAATACGGATTTTGGAGACCACGATACAGGACAGATGGAAATCCTTCCCGATTCTTCTTTCTTCTTGGCCCAGATCTAGATCTAGGCTACGGTCAACTCTAGGCCCAAGTAAGAGAGGGGAACAAAAGTACCGAACTGAAGTGAGAAGAGAGTCTACAGTACATGTTAGAATAGAATCTAAGCCTAGAATCTTGATCTTTTCAAAAGCTGCAAATTTCTGTTCAATCTCTTTGAAGGAGGAGAACTTCGCGGCCACTTCCATCTGCATCGCAATTTGGTTTAGAAGTTCGTTCAAAGTTCATAGTGAAAATTGAACGGCAAAGACTTCTGATTTTTTAAATGCAAAAGAGTTCCCTTGTCACTGGGAATAGTCACTTCGAACTCAAAAATGGCAGAATTTGGAGGAAAATAGGAAGCACTGATTTTACAAAACATCCCCCCCCCCCCCCCCCCCCCACCCCTAAAATTAGATTATTTAAGGCACATGCTGCTTCCACCCTGCCTGCCCTGGTGAACATGGGCTGAGCAAGATACAGCAACCCAGTAAAAAATTTAAAACCTGCATTATAATTGACATGCTCGTGTGGAATTAAAAGTCACATCTTTAGCATTGAATGACAAAAAGCATTACTGTTACAGCATATATGCTAAAATAGAGAAAACAGTCAAGGAAGGAACAACAACATTAACAGGACAGACCCTATTCATAAACATGATAAGACCTGTCATCCTAGTTACCTGAACCTCCCACACCAGTGCTCCTTTGGCAAACATATCAGGTACCACTTTTTGCTTTGGCTTCTCCTTCTTGCGTCCACTGCCAAGTCCAAATTTACCTGAAAACGTAAGTTAAAGAATTTTGTGCAAGTCAGACATTGGCAAAATTCTGGCTTCCGAGAACAATACTATAGGCATCTACCAGTAACCCGCAAACTCACTTTTTTTTTATTCCAGTAAGAATTTAAAGCCATTTGCAACAATATAAGGTCATAGAAGTGCCGAAAATTAGAGGTTTTACAAACACACACACAAAAAAAGATAACGACGATAGATGTTTGAGAGGAAAGGAGCAAACCACATCCGAGCACCCGCCAAACTAAAAAAATGTAAAGTATTAAAAAGAGTACAAAGAAATGGCACCCAGTCACAAACTAACCAATAAAGGTATCAAGTATTATACACAGATAGGTGAATTTTCTACAATGGATACACATTCAAAAAATTGTAGAATTAAGACACGTTCAGTTTTATGTCGAGTCAGAACAGTAATTGCTATACACTGCCAGGTAGGAAAGAAAGCAGAAGGAACAGAAAACACCAGACAACCCATCACCGCCATGATACTGGTCAGCAGACAAGACTGTTGTCTAACTGCTGGTAGCATAGCACAATGAACTTGCAAAAAAACTTGATTGCTTTAAAACATACTGAGCATACAACTTGTAGCTGAACCCCCAAACAGGAGAATCTTGACCACTATAAACTTATCTCCCTATGAACTTAAAGCAGTCAGCGAATCCAACTAGAGCATTGCATTCTTCAAGACTGTCCAATGAACACAAACACATTTTGTATTTAAACAAATAAAACAGATTTTCCATAAAGCTCTTTAAATAATACAAAGCTGTAACCACAGGCAGTATAGAAACAGACATAGAAACGACAACACACTACAAGTTCCTGTCCTCAATTAAACTAAAAACTAGAACGAGAGTTCCTAGACCTAAGTTAATAGTTAAGCTTTACGACATGTGAACCCAGCAGCTGCCACCAGCAAACACAAAGCCCCTATGCCCCTGTGGTCAAGCCCTGGCTTGTCCTAAGCAGTAAGATCATTATGTGTCAGACTGCATTATCAAATTTCGCTAACTTACTTCTATATCTGGCAAACAAGAGATCAGAGAAAATCATTACAGTATTTATTACTCATCCTATAAGCACAAGGCATATATATTATTGACACCTTAGCTTATTTGAGCCATCGTAAAAGATTCAAGAAGAGCAGCAAAACAGCAGTCCATGTCTATGGCAACACAAGAGGTGCGATATATTATTATCCGTTTGACCTCAAACAAGTAAAACATTGAAGGAAAGGAAGTTACAACTCTCCACACAGAACATGACTCAGCTCAGAGCAATGGCTTGTCAACAGCCTTCATGGAACATACCATTAATCCAATAAAAGCAACCACCAAAGTATGCTCTACGTCTTCTCTGAAATAACTACAGTACTTGAACACACAGAGACAACATAAACTCAGAATCTGCGACAGTTATTCCCATTTTCTACTATAAAATGACGTATTCTCAAACTACAGTAAAACTTCAACTTCTTTTGTTTTTTGTTCCACTTGAGAAAATCACAGATAGATCAATCTAAAGGTGAGTTCCATCCTTCAATCAGGTACTGGGCTCCAAAGACATGGTCCAGAAAGACCACCACCACCCCCCTCCCTCCAAGCTTCCCCAGCACACTTGGCTTCTGAATTTTGGTACTCCTGCTAGATTTGGAACAAAACAAACAGGGACACAGCAGTCACCGTACACGATAATAAAACAATTTGTAGAGAAATGGAGCAGACGTCACAACTTACTAAGCTTGGACCCCGAGTCAATGGGCGTGTTGGTGACATAGTTTGTGGCCAGGTCTTTTAAGTACTCCTGCCTTGTTCTTGTGGCCATTGTCAGAAATTTGTTGGACTTGTGTGCTGCATTCTCAGAGTTGATAACTGCATTGGAGAGATAGAACAACAAAGGATCGTCTCACTTCACATAATTCAACACATGGCTATCTACCTTCATCCTAGACATAGTTCATCACAAGTCTGTCTGTCGTCATACAGGGCTGCCTATATGAAATATTCCATTTCAGGAAGATTCAGGGGCACTTTCAGGTATTTTGGCCAAAAATCAGGTAGTAGTACAAAGACAAACTTTACCTTGGTCGAAGTAGTTGCCATTGAGCAGAACTTGCTTTTAATAACATTATTATATAAAGTCCTATAATTGTAAAGTGTGTGAGTGTGTGGGTGTGGGTGAGTGCATCTATGTGTGTGTGTGTCTGTGTGTGAAGCCCCCAAAGAAATTTAAATTTGGTGCTTTGCAAAGGCTTAAATTGAATTTTTCCATGGTCACTTTATTTCAGTTTGTCAGCGCACCATTGACAAAGGCAAATCTGGGTACACCAATCTTGACGATACAATCACCAAGCTTTTATCCTAATTTTCCACCACTTATGAGTTTGAATGTCAGATGTCACAACCTCAGACTCAGAGCACCACTTCCACTTATTTTCTATTTTAGAATCAACTCATATTACTGGGTACTGGCAGTTTCTCTAGATCTAGACAGATTTGAAAGTTTCTTTCTGACTATGGTTTTTTCTTAAATTCATAATTCATTTTTGTTGATCAACCCACAGTTTTCCAGCTATGAAAAGACCCGAAGATAGACCAAAATAGACAGAAAGAATGAATGACTTAAAGAAGGGAGGAAGAGATTCGCCCATTACCATGGCCAGGTGGTTAGGCCACCGGACTCGTAATCGTGAGGTTATGGGTGGTCTAGTGGTTTGGTTACCGGACTCGTAATCGTGAGGTTGTGGGTGGCCTAGTGGTTAGGCTACCGGACTCGTAATCGTGAGGTTGCGGGTTCGGGGGTTCGAGCCAAGGGCCCAACTTTGTTTTCTCGGGAAAGGCACTTTACACAAATTTTCCTCAATTCACTCAAATGGGAATGGGTACCCAACCATAGACAGCGAAAGATCTTGTCAGTATGTTAGTGTTTTAGCGCCTATAAATGCCCGTATGGACTGTATTCTTCCCAGGAAGTTCAGGTTGCTTCAGAATGCTCTCAGGTCTACTGGGGTAATAATATAGAATGTGAAGAGCATAGAGCTTGCTGTTGAGCAGGAATTTGCACTATACAAATGGTATCTATTATTATTTTAGCCAGATTTTGTGTGATTTGCATTTGAAAATGTATGTCCGACCAACCAGAACTGGATGCATAGAGGGACAGTGGCAGGAAATGTGCAATCTGGCAAGTTGTTCATGCAACTTATTGTCATGATTTACCATGATACCCAAACTTATCCAAGCAGTTACTGAGGCAAATATGGACCCTTTGCAACGAAATACCAATAAGCCTATACAATCTTAATTTTCTTTTTTGTGGATGGAATTGACAGTTCTGGGATGAGGTGGCAAGCACGGAACATTAGGAAAGTACGGATTTCCTTAAAAACAGGGAGGCACAGCAAAACGGGCTCTTTTTTTCCTTTTAATTAATTTCAGCGCCCGTAGTAAATTCGGTAGTTATGACACCTTTATCGGTATGGAGGCAGAACAGGTCAAAAATCTTTAACTACACGAAAAATCAGTGAAAAGGCAGCCCTGCTCCATATTTCTCACCCCTCCCCTCATCCCTCTTCTTTTAACACAGTCTGGTAGTCATTTCTGTTTAAAGAAGACTTCTGACTATCAGAACAACGATTACTGGGTAGACAACATTTCTGTACAACAAAGGGCAAAACTGACATGAGAAATCAATAATACTCCACAGTACTTAACATAATTTCCATACCGAAGATTTAAAAAAAGAAAAAGTCATGGCAGCTGTAAGTGAAAGACAATCGTACGTTTGGCAAGGAGAAAATCCACAAACTCTTGAGACTTCTTGAAGCTACAGTGCTCAGGGATGGGAGGGCCAAATGGTGGAACGTCCTTCGAGCGAGTTATTGCAAGGCTGAAAAAAAAAGTTTATTTTGCTTTTTGTAAGAGTTTTACAGCACTTGCAACACAATAAGGTCATATAAGTGCCAAAGATTAGAGGTGTTACAAGAGAGTAACAAACACAAAAAAGAAGGAGGAGGGATAAGGACAACAGATGTTGGATAGGAAAGAAGGAGCAGACCACACCAGAGCACCCGCCAACCACCCACATAAAAAGTTTGAAAACATGAACAAACCGGAAAACAAAACAACCAACATGCAATAAGAAAAACATAGGGACAAATATGGTAAGGGTGTTGCTATTGTATGCAGAAGTCATCAGCTCTATTCCTGTGCAAGGAAAATATTTGATCAGGTACAGTCGAACCTATCCAAAACGACCCCTTCATTTTCAAGGAGAAAAGTGGTCATCCTAGACAGGTGTTCCTCTTGAGAAGTGTCATTATAATACAGGAAAAAAATACAAGGGGGGAAGTGGGAGATGATTGCCTTGGACAGATGGTCATAGAGGCAGGTACAACTGTAACTCCATCTGGCTGTTAGGATGTTGTATCCCACTCTACCCAGGTTACCCTTGACAGGCAGAGTGAAAACAGCCCATCCCTTAAATGATCTAAACTGTGTCAGTGGGCTCTTACAACATTTACAAGCCATTAAATCTATCACAAGGTACTGTAAACTAAATATCCCGACGCCAAAAAAATAAAAAAGCGGTAATATAAGATGGGGGG